AGCCAAGGCTACAAAAAGGCTGTATATTTCGTACAGCAGGTGAACTGTGCAACTTCACACAGCCTTAGGATGAAGCCAAAAATAGCAAAGAGAGCTATTTTCATCTGGATTTACTTACCACTCGTTAGTATATAATCTTACTTCAGTTTACCAATTTTTTGACAATAATAATACATCACTAGCTAGCAACGCTCTTCTTGTTGCAGTATCTACTTGTTATAATTGCCAGGTATTGCAATGTTTTGTTTGCTTTTTATAATTTTTTCTATGTAAGAAAGACAGCATTCAGGTCTAAAGAGGGGAGATAGGCAACTTTAATTTCTTTCTATTTTGCCCCATGTTCTGCATTATTCCTATAGCCGTAGAAAGATGGGGGCAGTATTACTTTGTAAAAACGCCAGTACATGCAAAATGAAATATTAAACTTCAGGTCTGCTTAAATGAAACTGTGGGGAAGGAGAGCAGAAACAATAAAGTGTGGTGTGGTCAGAATGCAGCTTCTCTAAAAGCAATGAGTTATCCATTTAATATGTATGTATTAGACAAGAAAGCTCTCTTCTGGGCTGCTATTAGATTCAGATCTTTCTAGAATTAGCTTGAGGGCCATTTTACACTATCTGATTATACTTGTAAAGTTATTATGTGATAGAATAATTGATGATCTCAAATACCCAACTCTTTTTGATGATATTTTTGCCTGCTAAAAATTCAAGGAAGTGGAGATTTCTCTACAGAATAGTATTTAGTCCTTCTATCTGAAGTCACTAGAGAGAAGACAGGAAGAAGCATTTTTTTATTCAGTGAAACTTTTCCTGACGCTCTTCCCTAGGCAGGTGCTCTCCTTCCACTAAAGCGTGCTGTTTGTTTTCAGATATTGATTATTTCCTACTTCTTTCCCTCATTCCTTTTGGCCAGCAAGCAGTATGCCTGGTGATGAGTATGGAAAAAGGAATACCGCTTTTCCCTAGAGCAAAATTAGTCATGAATTCCCAAGCAGAATTACTTGTCTTAAGGCCGTAAAAATTCTTCTCTCCTGCTAGTAAAGAGAGTAGCAATTGTTTTATAACATGTAATGGAATCTAGACATATTTTTTTAAAAAAATCTGTGATGGTGAAAATACTACAATATATGATAAGAAGAAACAGGCTCTCTATTATGTCCATTTTTAGTTCCTCCAGGTCTGCCTTGACCCCTGGCGACTGCCTGGATTAGCCCCTGCAGTTTTCTTGGCAAGATTTTCGGAAGTGGTTTGCCCTTGCCTTCTTCCCAGGGCTGAGAGAGAGTGACTGGCCCAAGGTCACTCAGCTGGCTTTGTGCCTAAGGCGGGGCTAGACCATATACTTATTGAATACCTTTTATAAAGGTCTGTTAGCACCAGGTAACTTTTGAATCAAAAGGAATAATGATTCACATTTTTAAAAAATGCTTTCCAAAAACTGGAAAGAATGTTTTTCTTAATGAGGTAGCATTCGAAATAAATGGTGAATTAATTAAGAAAATAATATACATGCATCCAAATTATGGAAATAATGATTACTAAAAAATTGGGCTTAAGAAATAACTCAGGACTTTTACTACTCAGTGTCAGGGCAGCCACATCCTCCTGAAGATTATGTGCAGCCATGTTAAATGCCTTCCCGGGCCATCTGGGGAAGGATCTTCTGTGTCTTTTCAGGCGTGCACTGATGGTGTGGGAAGGCCCTCAAAGCAATCACGCTAAACCAATGGGGAGACTAGCTTGGCCGTTTTTTGTGGGGGGTTTTAGATTTTTTTTATCCCACTTTTATTATTTTTATAAATAATTCAGGGTGGCAAACATACCTAATAATCCTTCCTCCTCCTCTTTTCCCCCAAACAACAACCCTGTGAGGTGGGCTGGGCTGAGAGAGAAAGACTGGCCCAAGGACACCCAGTCGGCTTTCATGCCTCAGGCAGGACTAGAACTCACCATCTCCTGCTTCCCGGCCTAATGCTTTAACCACTACACCACACTGGCTCTTCAAGTATGGATGCTTCCGTCAGGGTGTTGCCCCAGTCAAAGCTCCCCTCTGTATAATTTGCATAGCTCTACTAAAAATATCCTGTCTATAAAAGGTTGTTGTTTTCTTTCGAAGGTGAGTTTAGTGCATCTGTTTTCATCACTGTGTTTATTGCTTGGGAATAACTGACTCTGGGCTAAGTTCTTCAGAGGTGTCACTGCCTTTGCCCATGCCTTTAAAGCAGCTGTGATCCTAGGTCTGCCAATTCTGGGATGCAAAACTCTGGTTTGCCACTAAATGGAGGCGTCTACGTTAACTTTTTTTTTTTGCCATCTCGTTATGGAAAGATATTCTTTCTGTTTGCAGCTCAGATCTGATAGCCATCAATAAAGTTGGCCAGCGCAAGACACGGGGCCCTCTGAATGGTGGTTGCACACATCTGTAGTGTTCCTTCCCCAGAGGATGCATATGGCCCCATCATTACCTCAGAATAATCTATTGCATTTAAAGTATCATACTGCTGCTGTCTGAAGTGGCATGAAATTTCTTTAACCATTTTAGCTGATTTTAATAATGGCAGCCTATTACTGAGATAGCTATGTTTCATTATTGTCATTCCAGTTTTATTTGATTATTTCATTTTAAAGGGTACTTTTTGCAAAAAGGTACTTACAGTTCATATTTTCTTAATCGGATTTGGCTTTGCCTCTATGGACTCTTCTTACCAAGTGAAAAGATTTGTTAATTCTGTTTTTATGTACCAAAAGAGGTATAGATTGCCGTCAGAGGAAAATGGCTTTTAACCATGGAAATGTTAATATTTTCGTAAATGTGGGATCAACAGGTATTTCTTGTGTCTTTTTCACAGCGCGTTTTGGGAAAGTTTGCATTTCAAACTAACATCACATCTGTACCTGAATTGAAGCAGAGGATTTGGAAGCCAGGACTTTCCATCTTTTCTACAGCATAATTGCCCCCCTCCCTAGACTGTCCCTAGAGATTTTCCTACGTACCGTTCCTCACAGGAGACTCCTTACTCTGGCACGAACTGGCCATTGCCCATTAGGACGACACCTGACAGATACATTACCCTTTCTGTATAAAAGCCATACTTGCAAATGCTCATATAGAGGGGTTGAATCTGCATTCCGTGTGTTAGTACAATGCCCATTCTATACCAACGGTGATAGAAACTCATACCCCCAGTTGTCTGTCATTTTAATTGCTCCTGTGATTATGAAATAACTGTTCTCCTTCTGTGTGATCAGTTCTAAGAAGGTTGCAGAATTCTTATTGAAAGCCATGGCTTAGAAACCATGGCTCCTTCCCGTTATGAACTGTTTTGGGTTTTTAATGTACTTTTTTTCTCTTTATTCACCATATTTATTTTGTTTTTATAATTGGTCTAGAACTGTAAATAAATAATTTACCTGATAAGATCTAATTTGCATGACTTTGTGGTCCATCTAAGACTGTAATGTGAAATAAACATGGCTTAAATAAACCATTTTTCCTGAATACCGTTTAACCTGATGAGGACTCCTCGGAAACTCAAAAGCTTGCATTTTTAAAAAATTTTTTTGCAAACCTTCATTTGGTCTGAGATTTTTTATCATCAGATTGCTGCATTTGAATGAATATAATATGAATATAATATCTGTGCTGATTATATTTTAGAGTATATAAAATATAGTATATTTCTATATATAGTACTATTTTCATAATATATGGAATTGTTTTTCCCCAAATGCTGACTAAGCAATTTATAATTCTGCAGCCTCATTAATGCCCATTAATACAGTACATAGCAATTTGTATCTTCCTTTCATTTTAAATTTTATATTAGAATAATATAATCTTTGTTTACGTTTTCCACAAATTTTGAGGCAGTAAGCGTATCATAATGCATTCATCTCATTAAGAATGGATAGTTTTCCATATACCATTCCAATTGCAGTAAGTAAACCCAATATTAAAGAAGTATAGTTGCTTTTCATACTATTTAATAGCTCTTGTCATTGGTACATATATAATATACTTATAAACCATATTTGCAAGGCCTTTAACAACAGTTGTTATTTGTTCGTGAAAGAAAATCTTGGCTTTGTGTGAAGTGTAATTTTCCTAAATTACAGTTGTTTGGTCTGTTCATTATAAATTTATTTATTTATTTATTTAATAGACTTGTCCCCGCCCATCTCCCCACAACGGGGGACT